TATCAGATCCCCTGGAACTGGAGTTATGGATGATTGTTAGCCACCATATGGGTGCTGGGGATCGACCTCAGGTCCTCTGCAAGAGCAGCCAGTGCTCTTAACCACTGAGTCATCTCTCTAGCCCCTTTTAATTGTTTCAAAAAGAAGAACTATGCCAGCCTTCAGGCAACATGAGACAGTTCTGAAGAGTACTATAAAATATGTCATTCCAACCAAATACACCACTTCTGGGGCTGGAGAGATGACTCAGCAGTTAAGAGTACTTGTTGCTCTTGCAGAGGACCCAGGTTTGGTTCCCAGCATCCATATGGCAACTAATATCCATCCTTAATTCCAGTTCCAGAGAATCCAATGCCCTCTTCTGGCCTCTGTATGTGGTGCACTTATATACATGCAGGCAAAACACTCATACACATAAAATAAAAATAATAAGTAGCTGGGTGTGGTGGCACACGCCTCTAATCTCAGCACTCTTTGGGAAGCAGAGGCAGGTGGATCTATGTGAGTTCAAAGTCAGCCTGGTCTATATAGTGAGTTTCAGGCCAGATGGGGCTACAGAGAGACCCTGCCTGAAAAAGACCAAAATATAATTAATTAAAAATAAATAAATAAATAAATAAATAAACTAACAAATAAGCTGACAAGGGGCTGGGAATGGCAAATTTACATTTCAAGTTTTGCACCAGAATGGGGAAAAGTCGAAGTTCAATGTCTTGTTGGAAGTAAAATCCAAAATAAGCCACTTTGACATAAGAACTATTTTGAGCTACAGGCAATTAGGGGAGTAGACACAGAAAGAACTCTCTGACTTCCTCTTTTCTGCAAGAAAAATGGCATATATTTCACTTCATAGAGGTAACATAAGTTCCCATTTTGTATAAACATCTATTCTCCCCTGATTAAGAGACTTAATCACTGACGATGATTCACACTCACCTGAATCTACAAAAAAACAAACCTTACTAAATTAACCCTGATCTTCTTTGAGTTTTTGCTGCTTTTCTTCAAGTCCCTGTGTACATACAAAATAAACCTTTACTGCTGACCTGGCTCCTTAATTCCCAGGCCTCAGCTACCAAACCTGAGGGTAGAAGAAAGTTTTTTCCTCCATTTTTGTTCTAAATTCCCTATAGCCCCAGCAGACCTGCCACTCTAGAACAGACTGTAGAACAGGCTGGCCTCAATCTCATAGAGATCTACCTTCCTCTGTATTCTGAGTGCTGGGGCTAAAGGTGTGTACCATCATGCCTGGCTCTAAAATAGTATTCTTGAATGAAGCAATACCGTATTAATAAAACATAACTCGCAAAAGGATCAGAAAATATTTAAAGTGATCTGTTATAACTATATCAAGAAATGACTGGGTAAAAAACAATTTTTTTTAAGGATCTAGAAGATGGTTCAGAGGTTAAGAGCACTGGCTGCTCCTGCAGAGGACCCAAGTTTGGTTCCTAGCCCCCGCGTGGCAGCTGTCTGTAATTCCTATTCCAGGGGCTCCAATGCCCTTTTCTGGCCTCCACAGGCATTTCATGCTTGTGGTGACTTACATGCAGGCAAAACACGCATGTACATAAAATAAAAATGAATCGGGGGCTGGAGAGATGGCACAGCAGTTAAGAACACTGGTTGTTCTTGCAGAAGACCCGGGTTCGAATCCCAGCAGCTAACAACTGTCCTAACTCCAGTCCCAGGGGATCCGACAGCCTCTTCTGACCTCCGCAGGCATTGCACGACACGTGTGCACTTACCTACATGCAAGGAATACACGCATACACATAAAATAAAAATAAAAGTTTTTTTAAAAATGAATTAAAAATAATTTTAGAAATGACTTGGGGCCTGGAGAGATGGCTCAGGGGTTAAGAGCACTTCCTGCTCTTCCAAAAGATCCAGGTTCAGTTCCCAGCACACACATGGAGCCTAACATCAGTCAGTAACTCCAATTCCAGGGGATCCAACACCCTCTTCTGGTTTCCTTGGGCATAGCATTCACACGGTGCACTTACATGCAGGCAAAATACTCATACACATAAAAAATTAATTTTAAAAAAGAAGCAAGACTAGATGGATGCAGACTAGGGATGGAAAATGTTCCATTCTTCCATGTTTTTCCACAAAGCCAATTTGTCACGTGTAACTAGCAGCCTCTTCTTTCTCTTTCCTATTTTAACATTCTACAAATGAGCATCATATTTTTAGAAAAGATTCCTCGCCTTCATAACCTCATGGGATTTGGATTAACTGAGGGCAACGCAGTCATGTTTGTGAAGATATGGGGATTGAATTCAGCCACTTCCCAATCCCTGCTATTTAGGATTCTATAGCTGTTTCCTGACTCATTGGAAGTATTTAGACCCTGTCTTCAACTTTAAATACTAGGACTGGGGATATAGCTCAATGGTAGAGTACTTGACTACTATGTATAGGCCCCAGGTTCAATCCCAAGTGCTAAAAAGCAAATAAACAGACTTCTGGGTAGAATGGCAGAGCTGAAGCTATTTGTGTGACCCAGGGAAGAAGAGTCAGGATAAGGAAGAACAGACTCCTTTCCAAAGAGAGAGAGGGAGGAGCATCAGAAGCTCACAGGAGAGTGAGGATGGTGAAAAGTGGGGTCAAAGAGAAGAGCAACAGCGAACAGAAAGCCACAGCGAGACTGACAAAAATCCTCCCCAGGAAGAAGCCCCAGGAGTGGCTGCCATTGGTGACAACCTCATCGCCACACAGACCCACCACCAGGACTCGAGTCCAGGGACTTAAGTATTTTCTGTACTATGCCGGGCCCCAAGTACTGACACAACAAAGAGTCAGAGAGAGGGAGTGGGCTGGTCCACCAGGGATGCACAAAGGTGGTCAGTGTGATACTGACCGCTAAAGCCACAGAGGAAGTATAACACAGCTACCCCATCATCCCAGAATGAGCTCTCATGACCCCACCCTGGAATTCTCATCTTCCTGTCTCTCCCTCCAGAGTGTGAGATTACAAGCATTGCTGCCATGAGTTTTAGTCTGTGGTGCTAGACCAGCCCCTACTTTCTCTTTTCTTTTTTTTTTTTCCTTTTTTATTTTTTATTTACAGCATGAGGGTTTTTTTTCATTTTATTTTATTTTTTTTTATTTTAAATTTTTTTTTTACAATTAAAGTTACAGTTTTAACAATATACAAAATATTACACTAATTCAGATTTTTTGGCATAATGATTACAGATTTGATAAATACATTTTATATCTCATAATAGCGATGAGGATTATACAAAAGCTATTAAAACAATTATGAGAATAAATTCTATTGTCACTTAAGTATCTAAAGCTATTTTCCTTTGC